CCGTCTCTGAGGCCGTCTTCGAGACCGTCATCGAGGCCGTCATCGAGGTCGTTATCGAGGTCGTCTTCGAGACCGTCATCGAGGCCGTCATCGAGGTCGTTATCGAGGTCGTCTTCGAGACCGTCATCGAGGCCGTCTTCGAGGCCGTCATCGAGGTCGTATTCGAGGTCGTCTTCGAGACCGTCATCGAGGCGCCGATAATTGCCCGACGGACGCGCTGCCGACAGAACGGGACAAGACCGGACCAGCCGGAGCCGCGCGTGGGAAAGCGGCGAAGCGGATCAATATTTTTCCCCCCGAGACGGTTTCTGTTTGCGGATGGAAAAAGCAGGCGCGTCGCGCGCCGTCGGTTGAATGGCGACAGCGGAGTACATCTTGGGCTCCATTCGTCACGCTGCCTGGTCCTGCCCCCTACCCCTCCCCTCCGCCCTTAAGGGCCACAAGGGCTTGACGGGCTGCGAGGGCTAACTGAATCCCCATTTTCCGTCAGGGATCCCCGCCCTGCCACTCTCCGGTTTAGTCATCAATTATTCGGGCCACCCCCGCCGCCCCCGCGCCGCGCCACGCCCCCTCGGGGCCCCTGGCCACCCCGGCCACCCCCGCCGCCCCCGCGCGGACACTGTGTCGCGTCTTTGAATGAAACAATAATCACGGACCGCCCGGGGCTCTAATATCCTCCGGAACAACATTGACTCGGCTAATCGAAATCCATAAATTTGGCGCGCGGCGCGCTCGAGAGGAAGATAATGAAGAATGAAAGAAGCAGGCTGGGACCGGAGGGAGGCGGGGGACGGGGCGCTGCTGTCGAAGGAGGTGGAGGAATCCCCTTTCCCGCCCGCAAAGGCTCGACTACTGTTTCATCTCCCTGCGGAAACTTTGCCCCCTCTCTCTCTGTCTTCCTCCCTGTCTCTCTCCCGCCGCCACCGCCACCGCCTTCCCTCCGAGAGTGAAGAGGCGCGGCGGAAACAATATGTGCCAGCGGGCGTGGCGCGGCGCGTGCGGTCGCAGCGGCGGCCAATCCGCTCGAGGCTTCGCGGCGCTTCGCGCTTCGCGGGGATTCCGGCCGATCGACGGATTCCCGGTTGACGGATTCGGGTTCCGGGCCTTCCGGCCGGATTCCGTATTCCGACGGGCTGCTTGCTGCTTGCGGTTCCCGCAGGCGATTTCCATCCCTTCCGTCCCGTGTTTATGTTTTTGTTTCCATTTGGGCCTCTTTTCTGGCGCCCCGACAAAGCAGCAAAGCAGGCGGGCGATGCTTAGCGAGGCCTGCAGGCTTGCGGGGCTGAGTGGCGGCGGCGCGGCGACGCCCGGCAACGCCAACCTGGACGGCCAATCGCAGCGACTCGCTTTGTCCCGGCCTCACTTTTGAATTCTTAATGCGGCCCCCTTCGGCTCCCTCCCCCCCCCCCCCCGTTCGCCTTCTTTTCGGCGACTGAATTTAATGAGCTGCGAGTGAATAATCGGGACGCTGTGTTGTTGCTGGCGATGTTGTTTGTCGCCGCCAGATCCGGCGGCCGGGGCGTTCGCCGGACGACTAAGCCTTTCTCTGGCGGAGGGGGGGAGACCGAGACCGAGAAGGAGAGAGAGAGAGGATGCACAGAGATTCCGCCGCACTAAGACAATTGTTTCCATAAATAAAAATTAGACGGGGAAAAAAAGAGACCTTGGAACAAGGCGCTCAGGTTGGCTCTCGCTCCACCGCCTTGCGAAAATACACGGAACAGCGCGGCGGCGCGGCGCAGAAGACAAACAGCCCCAGTCATTAGGAGGCTGACAATATTAACAGAACGCTGCAGGGTCCTGGCGGGGCGTGGCGGGGCCTGGTGGGGCGTGGGAGGTGTAAGTGTCCTAATGAGGCTCCTGGAGACAACGCGGAGGGCACGACGTGGCACGACGAGGACGCGGTCGCAAGCGGCGCGCTTCCGGGCCGCCTTCCTCTCCTTTTTCCTCCCCGGGTTGTAACTTTGAAAAACGGATTCCACATGCGCGAGGCGATGCGCCGAGGCTGGAGATAAGGGTCTCCTCGGTCTCGCCGGTCTCGGCCGTCGAGGCTCACGCTAAGGCTCGCGCCAAGGTTTGTGGGGCAAGAGGGTTGCTGGCGCGCGGGGCGGCGTCGGGGGCTTGTCTCGCCCCAGGGAGGCGTGTGGCCGTGGGGGCTCTTGGAGGAGGGGGGGGGGGGAGGCGCCCTGCAGACACGCACGCAGCGGAGCGTGGCTAGCGCCGTGTAAGGAGCGTCAACAAGGAGAGGAGTTTCAAAAGGGCGGACCCGCGGCCTGGTACACGGCGTGCCGCGGCGTGCGGGGCGGCGCCGTATTCGGGCTTGTTCCTGCTCGTCCTGCTCGTCCTGCTCGTCCTCGGCGAGACGAAGTGAAAGTGAGAGAAAGAGAGAGCCGCCTCGCACCCCTACCGCCGCCTGACACCCCGAGCGCCCCGACGTCCCTCGTCTCGTCATATCAACAACCGCCACGGCGCGGCACGGCGCGGCACGGCGCGCCATCCCCCAATCTCGCCGGATCACCACCACTAGGTGACGCGCGGTTGGAGCCGCCTAGCGCCGCCCCACCCCATCCAGGGGTCATCTGCCTCATTCATCACCCTCACAACAACGGGGCCCGTCCAGGGTATCCAGCCCAGCCTGGCCGTGCGATGCACGCCTGGCACGCCCGCATAGCAGTCCCGCCGCCGCGCCTCCTCCAAGCTCACCGTGCTCGTCGTCAACAAAAGCCGTGGACCGTTCGAAGGATGGCGCCATTTGACGGCGGGCTGCTTTGGCAGGCCCTTCATAACGCGTGGCGTCGATCGGAATACATTGCCGAGGAATCCGAGGGGGACATTGCGGCGGTAAATCCCCTTGCAGCGCCGCCGCCCGCCGCCTGGCCCGCCCCAACAGGGCCTCACTGGGATCGCCGGCAAAGGCGGAAGATAAACGAGCCAGCCCATATTCCTGGAACCGAGTTAGCTTTGTCCAAGGTAGAGGGTACACCGGTGGGGCGGAAAGAAGCGTACACGCGTGGCGGCGCGTGGCGGCGCGTGGCGGTGTGCGAGAATGGCCCAGCCTCGGGCCTTGCTCGGCACAGGCAGAGGGGACACGGGAAGACAAGCCAAGCGCGAAGGGTAGAAGTTCAGGGGGTGGGGAGGGACTACGCGTGCTGGTTTCAAATTGAGCTGCTGTCTTGTTTTGTTGCCGCCGCTTCTTGTCTGACTAGATGAGGGCTCTGGTCCGACAATGGTTATTATTCGGCTTGGGGGGAGCACAAAAAAAGCGAGGTCCACTTCCAAAGCCCCGAAAAGTTTACCTTCGTTTGCATGATCCCTTCCTCCCCGACCCCTTTCGGACACTGGGCTGTAATCTTGTTCCGCGTGGCATGCTCGCCCGGCGCCACGGGCCAGCGCGGCGGAGGATGAGTTTCAAAAACCCAGTTGCGTCGCCTAGTTCCGCCGACCGGAACCCGCGCTTAATGCGTCGGGTTAAGGAAATAAAGACCAAACCGCTCAGCAATGTATCTTATTTATCTTCGTTTTTTCCCTAGCACGCCCATCACGACCGTGATGCCCCCCTTTCGGTTGCCAAGAGAGCGGCCGAAGCAGAGAGCGGCACGGCCTGGGCACGGCCCCGCCTATACAACGCGGCGAATTTCGGCCGGCAGAAAATAACACTCGAGGCCGCCCAGTGCTCGTCCGGCCGGGTCGCTACTTTGATGCACGGCCGGGGGGAGTTTTTTAGACGCCGAGGCCCGAGGCGGGGCGGGCGGCACGGACCGGCGCGGACCGGCACGGACGCCAAGAGCTAATGGGCCGAAAGCGGCCGAAAGCGGCCGAAGGGCAGTGGGTCGGCTGCCCGGGCGATCAGCCATTCAGCCCGTGAGACTGTGAGACTGCGAGGCCGCGAGAGCAATCAGCCCGTCATCGGGCCGATCGGAAACGGTGGCCGCACGGCCGGAAGTCCGGAGGCAACGCGGCGGCGGTACGGCCCTGCGCGCGACAGTTTCCGGGACAAACCAAGTGACAACAAAGTCACATTTTCTTTTCGGGCGGCTTCCCCTCCCTAAAATGGGCGCCGTTTAGAGCCGGAAGAGGCGACAGCGCGTCACGAACAGAGCCACTCCTCCGGCCGCAGGGCGGCTGGGGGAGGCGGTCTAGGTAGACCTCAGCGACAACCCCATCCCGCGCCCCGCCCCGCCCCGCCCCGACACACCGCGCAAATGCGAAAGCCACTGCCGGGGAGGCTGTTGGAGCCACTCCAGAAACATGTCGGAAGTTCGAGGATCAGTCGAGAGAACTGGAGTAGTGGATTGGGGCGTGGGGGTGGGGTGGGGCGCTGCCTGGCGTTGCCGACGGTGACACAATGTAGGGCACCGCGGCGCGGGGCTCTCTGGATTCAAAGGCGCTTACGGTGTAATGCACACGGCATTACACTCAGCCTGGTCCCGCCTGATCCGCCAGCCTGATCCACCAGCCGCCACTGCGCCACTGTATACCTGTCCTACTCCCTGCGCCTGCTATCGCAAAAAAAAAAAAACAGACACGCTGACGTTGGGGCCTGCTGCCTCCGAAAGCGAGGAGCCAGGTGAGGCACCTGCCAATGATGAGGCGTCCAAGCCGAGACTGATGACTGATTCCGAGCTCGGCCCCGGCGGGGCCCTGGCCGGGGAGGGCAGAGCGGAGCGCGGAGGTGGGATGAAACGATGGACCAGTGTCCTTGGCAAATATTGGCGCAATCTGACGACCCAGTCCCTCTCTCTTTTGGTCCGTTTATTTTTCCACTCGGCATCATTTTCATCCCGCTCTCTCTGTAGTGTTACTTTTGGTTCAGTTCACCGAAAAAAAATGTCATGAACTTAAATTTGTGGAGGGCGGTTTCTGTGAGTATAGGTAAAAAGTAATTTCGTTTTGTTTTTTTTTCGTTGCAGGGTGGTGAATGTGACAAAGAAGATTTCGCATAAAAAGGTGAGAAACGACAAGAATGGTTTTATTCGATAATGTTGCAAGGTTGCTGCAAGCTAGTACTCGTACGCGCGGCGACGGCCCTCCGACTGGGGCTCGGCGTACTGGTTCCGGCTCCAACTCCGACTCCGGTTCCTTGGCGTGGACTGCTGACCGTCCGAGGAGCCCCTGGTCGAGGTCTGGGGCCTCCTGCGTACGGCGTTCGAGGCCGTGCCTGAGGCCGTCTTGTTTGTCCCAGTCGCGGCCCCGTTGGCAGCCCTTCTCGGGCCCGTCCTGGAGGTCGTCCTCGCGTCCGCCGCCCCGCTGGAGGCCCTGGCCGTGTTGGCCAGGTGCTCGAGGCGCGCCGAGATCTCCTCGGCCCGACGCGCCAGGCGGTACAGCAGCTCGGCCAGCATGCGGCCCTCCTCCTCGTCCTGGTGCGGAGGCCGTGTTCGCTGTTGTTGTTGTTTCGCCGGAGGCTTCTTCCTCTGTTGTTGTTGTTGTTGATGTTGCTGGGTGTTTGAGGCCGACGAAACCTTGACCTTGATCTTGATGTTGTTGTTGCTGCTGCTGCTGACCGGCATGTCGACGCGGTGCGCGGCGATGTTCTCCCACGCCTTGCGCAGCTCCTGCTCGACGGATGCAGCCCTGGGGCGGCCGCTGCCACTCCGCGAGGAGGTTGATCTTGGTGGCGGCGAGGGCGAGGACGGGGGTGGGGGTGGCGACGGCGGCGGTGCCTCCGGGGCGCGATGCTCGATGCGACGGGGGTTCCTCAGCACGGACGGGTTGTCGTGGTGGTCGTCGCGCGCGGCGGCGGCGAAGGCGGCGTCCGGGGCCGGGGCGGCGATGACGTCCTCCGGGAGGTACGGCGGCAGCAGGATGCCGGTCCTCGTCACGTGGCGCTCCGGCTCCACGGAGAAGGGGCTCCAGCCCTGGGGCGCGGCGGGACGGGCGGCGGGGCGGGCGGCGGGGACGGCCATTTGGAATGCAGGCCCGTCATCGGTATCCACGGGCAGGTGCGGTCTGCCGGCAATGCCGCCCCACGCGGTCGACGCGGTCCTGGCCGGGGCGGGCGCGGGCGGGCGGGTGGCGAACAGCTTGGGCGGGCGGGGGCGCGGGAGGCGGGCGGGCCGCACCAAGCCGGAGTGCTCGTCCCCCCACAGGGCGCGCCTCCGGGCCCGACCGGCCCGAGCATCCCGAGCAGCCCCCGGCAGCGCCGGCAGCGTGGCGGCGGGCTTGTGGTCGTCCGGTCTGGAATGGCTGCAGGCATGCCAACACAATCACGATGACGAATGAGCAGTCAGGGAGCAATGAGAAACCGTGCGGCCGCGCCGGCCTGGGATGTCGAGCCGCGCTAGTCTACCCTTCGGCGGGCACAGTCAGGCCGCCAACTATTGCTAACAGGGCTGCTATGGCGTCGCTCGACCAGAGTGACCGTGCGGCGCGGCGAAGCGGGGCGGGGCTGTCCGCGGTCGGGCCAAAGTGGTTCCATTCTTGTCCGCCGGCATGGCAGCGGTCTCGGTCGGGCGAGGCGTGCAGTGGTGCGGCCCGCACGGCGCGGCGCGGGTCACGACGGCTCTACATTTGTATTACTGCTCGCCGTCCGCTTGCCCGTCCGAGCCACATGTCCCATGCAGCGAAGGGGCGGACAGAAACGGGGGGAGGGGAAGGCCCCTTTATGGGGAGTTTGAATGCTGCCGCGGGGCCGGCCGGCCCGGCTCAAGTTCTAGTTCTGGTGGCGCGCTGCGACGCTGCGTTGTGGGTCTCCGGGCGCTCTGCCTCCGGCACCCGTACGAGCGGCACGGCCGGGCACGGCGGTGTGCCCCAACCCAACCCAAGGCCCGAGGCGTGGCCGTGGCGTGGCCCAGCGCGCGGCCGCGGGGTCCCGCTAGCCCACCAGCCCGCGCCGCCCGCGCCGCCGTCATGGAAGCCACTTCAAAGGGCGGACGGCACGGCCAGACGACGCGCAACTCCCCCACCCCAGCCGAGTCAGCCCTCGCACCCACACCAACCCACACATTCGCATACGGCCTGACGCCGCGGACGCCGCGGACGCCGTGCCCGAGCGGCCTGCCGCGGCCGCGGTCGCTGCGGGACCGCACTGGCGGGGCTACACTCCCCTATTCATTGCCCTAACCTAAACTTGAAGGATTTTTATGCCAAGAGCATACTTCTTGAGCCCAAGATCGTTTCTTGCGAACAAGAGCATTTATTACGCCCAAGAGCTGAGAAACTTTTAAAATCCAACCTCGCGGACAGCGCTCACCTGCCGCAATGGTGCGTCGCGGTGTCCCTGCGGCAGCGCAGCAGGCCGGGGATCTCGTCGGCGCGATGCGCCGCCAACAGACTGTCGTCGTCGTCGAGGTGGTTGCCGACGACATCGTCGTCTCCAGCGAAATCCCCGTGAAGCCAGTCCGACTCGCAGGGCTGCGCCTCCCGCGCCGTCCTGGCGGCCAGGACCAGGGCCAGGTTGGCGGCGAGCAGCAGCACTGCCACCAGCGGCACCGCGCGCGCCACCGCCATCCTGCACAACAACAACGTCAACGACTCGCGAGAAAAACAAAAGCACGCGCCGCTTCGCCGGCTCTGGAATAATCAATTATTCGTGTCGCGGGATTGAGCACTCACGACGCACGACGCGCGACACGACGCCGCACCGTCTCATGTGCAATGCCATTTGCTCACCTACTCTCGTATGATAACTCACCTGTCACCTGTTCGCGGCAGCGCGGGCGCCGCCGTGCTGTGCCGTCAATCACTCGCAATGCATATGCAGAGGCGGGGCGGGGCGAGGCGGGGCGAGGCGGGGTGGCCAAGTTGGCGTCCGGCGGAGGATGGATGCACGGCAGTGGAGGCGGGCTCTCTCCCCTTCCTCCGAGTTGCCGCAAACTTTCCTATCAGGACGGGCTGGCCTGCCTACCGCCACGTGTGGACACAGCGCGACGGCCCAGCGGGGGCAGCGGGGCGGCGGGGGCCTGGTGCAGGGCCAGGGGCGAGGGCAGGGGCAGGGGCAATCTCTGCCTGCCTGCCGGCCTGCCCGCCGGACGGCGTGGGACCCTGATGAGCCTCGGAGGGGCTCAGCCCTCAGCCAGGCAGCCTGCCAGCCCCGGGACGCGGACGGGGACTGCAGGGAACGGACGGGGCTCTCCGGCAGGCTTTCCGACTTGGGGCCGCCGAAAACTTGAAGACTCTCTGCGGCGCTCTGAGGCGCTCTGCGGCGGGGACGCGGGGGCGGCGTGGTGGTGCAGGGCGTCGCGGTGCTGGAAGACTACTGCGGCACCTTCTGGCGGCCTGGCTGGCGGCCTGGCTGGCGGCGGCTGGACCATGTGTCGGTGCAAGCATCTTTATTGTGTCGCGGCCGCGTTTTCCGGCAGTGCTTGCAGCTTGCCCCGCCCCGCCCGAACCGCTGCAGATGGCCGGGCGAGATGGGCGGTGCGATACTGTCTGCCTGGTCATAAAGGACAGGAGTGACATGAAAGAAGTTCTGGTCGGGGATTCGCGGGGACTCGGAGACCCATCCACTATTCATCGCGCCCAGCCATGCATGTTTCATGGCGCGCGCTCGCGTGCTTGTGTGTCCGGGTGGCCAATCGAACTCACATGGACACCAATTCGAGGCCAATTTTCGAGTCGCGCAGGAAGTGATCGAAAAATTCAAAGCTCAATACCAGTTCTAAAAAAAATGAAATTATTTGGAAACTTTTGCTGCACGTGTGGACTTTTTTGCATGCCTGCGTCTGTGCGTGCGTGGCGTGAGTGCCCGTGCGTGTGTGTGTGTCACGGCTTGCAGTCCCGGCGCTGCTTCGCAGGGGGCGACTGAATGATTCAGCAGATGAGGGCGTGGCGTGGCCTGTCGGGGGCGCGGAGGCCCGGCGGAGGCGCGGAGTTCTCGCCGGCGATTCTTTCTCGGAGAGCAGACGCCAACAGCAGAGTGATCGGCACATTCTGTTCATTCTGTCCATTCTGCCCATTCTGCCAGCCCGCCGGCACATTCGCTGGGCCCAGCGTCGCTGCGTGGGTGCGGATCGCGCTCCGGCAAATTGAGCCCCGGTCCAGTCAGTCGGTCCTGACAGTGATGACGCTGGATGAAGCCTGGCCTGCCCTGCCCTGCCCCGGCGCTGGCAGGCTCATTACACCGCAACGGGCTGCTGAGCGTGAAATCCAGTGCCCCGCGCCGAAGAACACCCGAACGGTGGACGGGCACGGCGGCGTCGTGGCCTCGGGGTACGCTGCGCCTCTGATTTATGTCTCAGAATGCAACGGCCCCGCCAGCCGCGCCAGCCGCGCAAAGGGAGAAGAGCAGCGAATGGTCGCGCCGAGCCTGACCTACAAACGCGTCGCACGACGACTCCGGTCGGCAGACACCGCCGGGTCAGCCTGTCCACCGGGAGGTACGCTTGCCTTGGCACCACAAACCCCAGGCAGGGCACCCCGAGGTACCCCACAGCACGTCAGGGCCCCCCAGAGCACCGCCGGCTGCATAAGCCCCGCGTGGACGCAGGCGAATAGCGCAAACCTGCAAACTAAAGTAATAGAAAAAAAAACCTTGCCAACGGCATTTCAAGAAGGCGGCGGCATCGCAGCATCGCTGCATCGCGATATGCAAACCCGAGCGCGCAGGCATGACGGCTGAACACTCACCAGTGAACAGACAACATGAATAGCAATGAATATTATGAATACCAAGAAGAACACAGTCAAACACCAATACACAATTTTTTCAAACACTGGCTATAGCAATAGCAAAGAGAGCAACTTGTGTTATTATTGGAACATCAGTTTGTGGGCGGGCAGCCTTTGCTGCAAAGTTTGGTCAAAACTGTGACAAATGTGTAGAGAGTGAATGCCCCTAAGGGAAGGCCGGGCAATGCGGCCATTCATCGAGGCATACGCACACCACGCCACGGTGCGCCTGGCTACCTGGCCGCCGACCCAGCCCCAGGAACGTTCAACTCAAACTTCCCCTGTATATTACGACTAACGGCGCAGACCTACTTTGCCCTCCTCGCCGGGTGTTCCTCCCGCGTCAGCGGCACGCTGGCGTGGGTCGCGGCCTCCCCGGTGGCCACACCACGTGGATGATGTCCAGGGCGGCGCCCAGGTGGGGCGGGCCGCGGCGAGCGATCGGGCCCCAAGAGATACACTCGGGCGCATCTTTCTCCCTTTCAGCTACAGGTTCGCTCCTTGGGAGCGTCGTCAGCACTGGGAGCTTCGCTCACACAGGGAGGTCCGCAAATGCGGGAAGGTAGGGTATACGGGCTGGGTGGTCGAACCTCGAACCACAGCACCATGCAAGCGGGGGGCAAAGTTGGTAAAGCCTGGTGGAAGGGCGGGGCCTGGCGGGGCCAGGCGGGGCTGGGGGCTTGCAAAAGAGAGACCCTGAGTGGGGACCGAGGCAGCCGAGCGACCCTTCAAGTGTGGGTGCGGCCGGGCCCGACCGCGGAAGAGAAAACTATCGACAAAGGATTGATCGCGGCATGGCGGTGCCGCTGCTCCGCTCCGCTGCTCCGCTCCGCTACCTGATCTGCGTCATTAAAACTTGGAAATCGCTTGGCTTCCCTTCGCGACGCCCCGCTTGGCTGCA